TTGAAAAGAGCAATTGCCCAGCCCCAGCTCTGAAAGGATGGCTCTACGCCTTGACTCCCAGCACCCTCTCAACTCTGCATCATTTACTTATTATGGTCAGGTTCATGGTCTGTCTCCCTTTCCTGGAATGCCAGCCTGGTGGCGAGCCTTGCTTTGCTCATAGCTGTGTTGTGTGGTCCAGAACCTGGCAGCGGTAGCTGCTCAGTAAATATTTAATGAATAAATGAATCTCAATCTCTCTCTCTCTCTCTCTCTCTCTCTCTCTGTACTGGGGGTTGTATCCACAACCTTGCACACAGCTGGGCAAGAGCTCGATCACTGAGCTACATCCCCAGCGTTTTCTTTACGTTTTATTCTGAGACAAGGTCTTGCCAAGTTGCAGAGACTGGCCTCAAACTTGGGATCCTCCTGCTTCGGCCTCCCGAGTATCTGGGATTATAGGCAAATGCCACTGGGTCTGGCTTTAATGAGTGAATCTCTAAGTGCAGTGAGTATTGAAAACACAGGTGAAGGCCTTTCCCGGGTAGGTGAAAGGGCACAGGGACCCTTCTTCAATGTAAAGAAAATGGGGACCCCCCCACAAAAGAGAAAGGAGAGTCCTCCTTTTCCAGTGTGAGAGAGGAGGAGAATGTCCCCTGTCTTGGGGAAAGGGAAGCCAGGCAGGAAGGAAGAGGGTGGATCTTGCACCCTTGGGGGTTGAGATGGAGACCCTTCTCATTTCCCATGCTAGTAGCCAATACCAGATGTTTCTCAAAAAATCTAAAATGGAATTTCCATATGATCCAGCAATTCCACGTCTGGGTATATGTCCACAGGGATGAAATCAAGGGGGGACCTGTACCCACACTTATCAGCATTGTTCACAGCAGCCAAGACATGGAAATGACCAAGCTCCCACAAATGGGTGAGTGGATAAGGACAAGTGGTGCAGACACTTGTGACAGATTTGATGAATCCAGGGGACACCTGTTAAGTGACATAAGCCAAGCACTGAGACAAATGCTGTGTGGTCTCACTGCCGTGTGGAGCTGAGCCTCCTGTGAGCGCAGGAGACCCTGGTGGCTGCAGGGCCGGCCGTGGGGTGGGAGAGGGAGATGCTGCTCAAAGCCTGGGACGTCTCGCTGTGCAGGAGGAATACTCCTGGGGTCGAATGGACCGTGTGGTGCCGCCGTTAATACTGCTGAAGTTAGCTAAAAGAATTGACCTTGAGTGTTCCCACCACTAAAAGGTGCCCGGGAGAGATGATGGAGAAGTTACCTAGCGTGACTGTGGTCACCAGTGCACAACACGACGTGTATCAAAGAGTCGCGTCGTGCATGTCACATATAAATATGCACGACTTTTAGTTGTCAAGAATAACAGGGCTGGGGACGAGGCTCCGCAGCAGAGCACTCGCTACCTATCATGTGGAAGGCCCTGGGTTCCATCCCCAGCAGAAGTAGGCTCTAAGCTCCTTAATTCATTCACCCAACCAATATTTGCTGTGCACCTACTAAGTGCCAGGTGGTGGGACAGACTGCAGAGAGGAGGCATAGGAAGGGGTCAGTCATACTTATACTTCTATAGAAGGGGGTCCTGGGGTGAAAGGGGAATGATGTGTCCTGATTTCCCTGGGACGATCTCAGGATTAGCATAAAATGTCATGGACCCAGGAACTCCCTCAGTCCGGGAGAACCCGGATGTGTCCTCCTGACCTGGCATTTGCCCCCACAGCCCTGAGCCTTTAGGCAAGTTTAGGTGCATTTAGGCTCCTGGTGCCTCTGAGCCGCCCGAGTGGGAGCCTGGGATGGGGAGGTGAGGAAGGACAGGGGGGGTGGTGGGGAGGGGGGGAGTCCAGAGTTGGGAATGAAGTTAGTTTCCAAGACCAGCTCTACCCTGGCTGCCTGGGGACCTGCCTCTTTGAGTTTTGGGGACAGTCATCTGGAGCACTGAGTCTGTGGTCAGCACGGGGGTGATCCTGGATGAGCCCCCGAGTCTGGCCTTGTGGCCCCTGGGTCTCCTGGGAGGTGGAAGGAAGTGTCTCTTCTTCTCAAACTGCCCCCCTAGGAGAGCCCAGGGGGGACTGAGGGGTGAGAAGGCCACACTCAGCCCCCAGCACAGCCCTGCACCGACCGTCCCCTTCCCTGCCACCCAGCAACGGAGAGTAAAGGAGAGTCTTGCACTTTCCCAGAAGATGAGCCAAAAGTGGAGAAAGAGAAACTGAAATTTTGACGAGGGCAGATCGAGGAGCAAAGCCCAGCAGGGCTCCAAACTCTCCCGCGCACTCCACGCCTGCCATTCCCAGCCCCGGGTAATCCTCCTCTGCCACGTCAGGTCCCTCTGCCAGGATCCGGCTGGGGCAGTGACCGCGGTTGGGGACAAGGTAGGGACTCAGCAGAGCGCAGATAAGTCTTTACAGTAATTCCCCCTGTCCACGGGGAGACCACGCCGACCCCTCGTAGCGCTGAGCCCTTCCTGTACCATATTCTTCCCTCGACGCACACCCTATCATCAAGTTTAATTTATAAACTAGGCACAACCAAAGGTTGACCACAAGAGCCAATAATCAAACAGCACAAAGATGACCATAGGCTGATACTCTGAGAGTCCATCTGATAACCAAGGCTTTGTGGCCATCGGAGCCTGACCTCCTGCACTCTGTCATTGCTTATTGACAGTACCTTCCTTTTTATTGCCTGCATGTTATTCCATTCTGTGGTTATGTGCAGTCTACTTACTCATTCTTGTTGAAGGACATTGGAATTGTTTCTAAAGTCTGAGAATTATGGAGCTACTAAGTAATTAACAACCAGGCAGTGTGTGCACACAGCTCGGATATGGCCCCGCTGGGAGAGAGGAGGGCTCTGGGCTTCATCATGCCATTCATGCCATTTAAAATTCATGAATTCTTTACTTCTGGAACTTTCTGTTAAACAGTTTTTGGGCCTTGGTTGACCTTGAAGAACTAAAACCATGGAAAACAGAACCACAGGTAAAAGGGGCACTCATCTGTTATGTGCACAAGGATCCGTGTTGGGAGGGGCCATAGAGAACTTCCTGTCCCCCCAGGGTGGTTCTCACACACACAGAGACTGCCAGGAGAGGAGAATCCATCCCCCTCAGTCTCTTACCAGGCTACGGATGAAGGCATGGACTTAGGAACCATCCAGAAACTGGGATTCAACTCTTTGCTGTGTGACTTCAAACAAAAGACTTAACCTCTCTGAACCTCCCTTTCTCTTCTAGAAGGAAGGTAATGGTGCCCCATTCTCACTCACCAGGCAGCAAGTTCAATGGACATGATTTAGATAAAGCCCAGGTGCACAGAAGGTAGACCACACACACTGTTGTCACAGAGGTCCTTTGGGATCTCACCTCTCAGCCACAGGGATAAGGAGGGAAAGAACATGGTGATATAGAGGTTTGTTGGGGGGTGGGCGGTAGTTGAGCCCAGGGTGGATACGTGGATTTCCCTAGCCCTGGAATTTGTTTGAAATTTTTTTCTTTGGGGAGATGGAAACTCAGAGAGGCTAGTTTTCTGGCCTAGGGATGCCCAGCCTGTTAGCAGCGGACTCAGATTCCTGCTCAGGTACCGAGGGAGTCTCTTCCAGCCTCTCACGGCAGACGTCTTGGAGGGTGTCTGGATGGATTCCAGGGAATTCCTGGGGAGGGCCGAGGGGCTGTCCTGCGTTCTGAGGCAATGATGGGGGAGGGAAGCTGACCTCTAGCCCAGGTGGCCAGCCCTCCCTAGGACAGGAACAGGGGGCTGTCCGGGGCCAAACAGTCCTAAGCATCAAGGGAGCCTTGGGGACAAAAGCAGTTCAACAGGCTCTGTAGCAACGTGCTCTGGGGACAGTTCAAGAGGACACACCTCACTGGAGGTGGTGGGTTGTCCTGTACACACCCGCCCACCATTCAGCCCATTGTGCCGGGGCCTCATATGACGTCCAGCTGCAAGCTCTCCTGGGTCAGGGACAGCCAGGGCTGGGGTGACTCAGGACCGGGGCCTGGGGCCCTTCCCTGCCTGCTGCAGCCCTCCCTGGCCAGGGGCGGGGGGGGGCAGCTCGCAGTTGCCAGGCTGGACAGCCCCTCCCAGCCCCTTGAGGCCCCCGTGGCCAAGTCTTGGCTCAGCAAGAAGGAAGTCCTCCTCTGAAGAGAAAGTGAGCAGACGGCGCTGCCCCTGGTGTGCTCGGGGCCACCCTACAAGCTTCACTGTGGCTTAGACACCAGAGGGTCCTGCCCAGGGAGGCAGCCCGGAGTGACAGCGGTGGCTTGCGCAGCCCTGTGCCCAGGCCTGGAGGATGGGGACCTTCTTCCTAGGACAGGGCGTCTGGTCCTCCCAGGTGCCCAGTAAATGCACCCCCAAGCCCTTTCCTGAGGCTTCGGGGGCTCTCTCTGCACACGAGGCCCAAGTTAATCCCTGGAATGACCAACAGACCTGGAAAGTCCCCAGAGACCCAAGAACGTGCCTCAGCACCCTCCCGGGCTTTCATACACCCCGAGTCCCCCATCACGGAGCCAGATACGCTCAGCCCACGCTAAACTGCCCCAGTGCCCCTGCCCGGAATGCCCCGTCCGTTTCTTCTTCGAAGACTGCCTATGAAACTCCTTGCTAATCCCCTGTAACAATCCCAGAGCCACCCAGTGTGGGCAAACTGTCCTCTTCAGTGTCCCCCCTGGACGGAGGCTCCTGTGATCTGCTCATCCCCCCCCCCCAGAGCTGGGTGCCGGTGCTGGAAGCCAAGGTGTCAATAAAACCCCCCGGGTATGAGGGGGCGAGTGAGCCAGTCCAGGAGGGATGCCTGGGCACCTCCGCCCAGACCCCCTGGGCATGCACCGCACCCTGCAGCCCTTCTGTGAACTCCACCGGGTCCATTCACAAAAGGCAGCCTCGGGTGGGCTGTGAGTCATTTGCCCCCGAGCCAGAAGAAGACCTGGCTGTCCCACAGGGAGCTCCGGAAGCCCCCAGCCCCTCTCCTCTGGAATCTCCCTGCTCCTGGTCCCAGCCCAGCCCTGCTTACCTGGCCCACAGGTGAGGAGGAGACTCGCAGCCAGAGCCAGCAGGTGCCCGCACCGGTGCTCCGGGGGAGCAGGGCACTCCCAGCCCATCCTCCTGCCAGAGGGCGCTTTGCGTCTAACCCCCTGAGCGAGTCCCTGTGACTGAGACCAGCTCAGCCTGGCGGGGCTTTGGGGAGGGTGGCGAGGACACACCTTGCAGAACTTCCCAAGAGGGGCAGGGCCTGCCCTAGGGGGAAGCAGAGGGTGCTGCTGTTGGCAAAGGTCAGCTGGCATTATTCACAGCCCGCACGGTGACTAACACCTGTGGACTGATACCCTCTGTGAGGAGGGACCTGGCGGGGCCTGCGCCCCAGGCCAAGCTCTCTGGATCCAGTGTCACGCTGAGAGATCCCCGGGGTCTGGGTCCCCCCAGGCTGGACGCACATCTGTCCCATTTCCCGGAGCCTCCGTTTCTACCCGACGCTCTCTGCTCAGGGGCTGGCCCCACCAGACTGGAGCTGGGTGGACCCTCTCGGGGCAGGCACAGCTGCCTCTGGAGGGTTTTGGAATGTGCAGGAGTGTGGGGAGGCTGCATTCCCATGGGGGAACTCCCCAGCCCAGGGGAGCTGAGGGCTGAGCTTAGCGTGCCCTCCAGACCCCCCTGGGAACCACTCCTTCCACCCGCCCTCCCTCGAGGCCCCCCATAGCCACCATGGGAGCTGCAGCCCAGCCCTCCCCAGTCAAGTCCTGCAGCTGCCCTGGCACAGGGTGCAGGGAGAAGTTTGGATTCTGCCGGTTCTTTGCAAACCTCATTCTTCCACCAGCTGATCAACGTTAGACCTGGGCTATTAAAAGAGCCACCCCAGCAGTGAGCTCTCCCCCACCCAACCTGCCCTGGTCCATCTGTCTTAAATACCTTGCTCTTCAAAGTCCCCTCAGTCCCCTTTTACCCTGGCATTTGGGGGATCCCCACCCCACCAGTCCCAACAGCCAGATGCATCACAAGACGGGAGGGCACAGGCAGGTGCCCGGGTGGGGGTGGAGGGGGGGGGATGAGGGGCTTCCCATCTCTCCTGCATCTTGCTCCCAAGGCGGAACTTCCGGGACCCCCACCCCGGGGCTCAGCGTGCTTTCTGTAATTTCCTGTTGACCTGCTGTGCCGGCCCTGCAGCCCCCACTCCAGCAGACACACCTTGAGCATGCAGCTCAGAGAGGTCAGTGGGAGACACCAGACCCAGACTGGGGGGGACAGGAACTGGGGACAGCCCCTGGAGCAGATGTCTCTACAGTGAGAAGGAAGGATAAGTGAAATCAGCTGGGCCAGATGGCGCCACGATGCTGGGGACAACTGAGGAGGACTGGCCTTCCCTGGACAAGATGACGGACACCTCCTGTGGTCTGACTCGAGCAAAAAGAAACATCTTTTGAAACCAGGCCCTTGGCCACTAGAAAGTTCCTAGGCTCTAGTCCACTCTAAAAAAGAAAAGAAAACAAAAGAAAAAATCAGTAAGCTCTTACATCTATCTCCCTTTGTTGGGGAAGCAGCCGGCCCCTCCAGGGTGTTGTCTCCCTTCAGCCAAAGTCCCCTTTAAAGCCTGGCTTGGCCCCAGACTTGCACTTGTCTCATTTCTGTTGTTTCCAAGCCAAAAGTTCTCATCTTCAGGAGCAAAGCACCCTTCCCCTCCTTAAGGAAAGGAGACCCAGGGAAACGGAAGTCAGGTGACCATCCTCCAGATGACCCCTGTGTTCCACTCACCCTCCACCTCCCAGAGGGGAACACTAGCCGCCCCCTGCTGCCACACCAAAGCACCAAGACACTCAAGACCAAAGACAGAGTCTGGTCCTCGCCCCAGATCCGTGGACTCCCAAATCGGTGTGTGACCTGTTTAAGCAGTTCGAGTCCTCTTTCCCTGGAACGTGGCCACAAGCATCCTCAACCCCATCAGCCCTTGAGACCTCGTGCCCAGGAGCCGTCCTGCTCTCGCAGACAGGTGGGGCAGGATTAATGGATTCATGACTGGTGATCATGGCCACCGTTTATTGAGCACCTACTGTACACTGGTTGCCAATCACCACCAAACTGGGCCTCCTCTCACAGCAATTCTGTAAGGCAGTTGCTGCTCCCCTCCTTCCTCCCATCCTCTCTCCTTCTCTCTTCCGTTCTCCGTGTGTTGCCAGGGCTGGAACCCAGGACCTCTTGCATGCGAGCCAAGCACTCTCCCACCCCCAGCCCAGGGCAGTTGCTATTAATGGCTCCATTGAACTCATGAGAAAGCTGGGAGCCAGGGACTCATCCAAAGTCTCACTCCCTGTTTCCACCCTAGGAGTGAGTGATGCTCCCCCGAGGGGCGCTGCACAGCCTCTGGAGTCATTTCATCATGCAAACGCAAGGGGCTGCTTCTGTTGGCATCGAGTGGATGAAGACCAGGGATGCTGGTCAATATCCTCTGGTGCCCGGGACAACCCCCCCCCAGCACTGAGCTGGCCAGCCCCACGGGACAGCGGGCCACTGTGAAACAGAGCCCTGAAGCAGTGCTGTCCCGCGGAGCCTTCGAGTCACTCCAAGTCCACGCTCCAGAGCCACGGTGGCTCCGGAGGGCTTGAGATGTGGCTGGTGAGGGACGGATGGATGTTTAACATTTTCATCTGAACTTAAAAACACATCCTTCGTTTAGTGGCTTGGAAACTTGTAAGTAGGCTTGAAACGACTTGTGTATGTGAATGTCCTTTTTTGGTTGTTATTTTAAACTTCGATTCTATAAAATCTAAACACAGATCACGTATTTAACGGCTCAGCATGTGATCTGAGATGCCCTTCCTGACAAGGTTAAGGGCACAGCCGACTCAGTGAACAAAGTGTTTGGGGAAAGGAAAGAAAACATCCTGCTAAGGCTTTTTATGATGGTTGCTGAGGGATGATAACTATCGGGACACCCAGGTGCCCTTCCGTTGTTTATGGTGGCGTAGGATCCCCACCAACCGTCCTACGTCGCAAATGCCACAGGCTGGAAAAGCTCTGACCACGCCTGACCTGGCAGACACCCCAGCCGAGCAGCTCAGTGCTGCGCTGGGGACTGTCAGTCACCCCCTCCCACCCCTCGGGCTTCCGCTCAGGAGCCACCTCCTTCCTGGGAGAGGTCTGTCCCCACCCCGCCCCAAGTGTCCTGTCCCCTCTGTGGCTCACCATCCCGTCAGGCTCTTTATTTCCTCCCTGGTGCTGGTCAGCTTTCTAAATGTCAAGCCCTTTTATTGTCCATTTGTTCACCTTACTGCCTCCACCTACCCGTGATGGGCAGGGACCGTCCGTCTCCTTGTGGCCACATCCCCCCACTGACTCGCAAATACTGTTCGGGGGAAAAAAAAACACCTCAAAAAGGCCTAGGATTTCCTTAATGAGACTGAGAAGGGACCTCAGTCCCATTCTACACAGACCAGCCTTGGGAACCCGTCTCATAGGGGGCATCTTGGATCCCTTCCCTTCCAGAACCTTCTAAGTCCCTCTTGACTCTGCCCGTGGAGTTCAGACCCTCATCCTCTCTCTGCTTCGACGTTTTTTTTTTTTTTCTCACAGCCATGGCCTGTGCCCACTCCACCCTCTTTTGAGTTCCCCTCCACCCAGCCAACAGAGTGACCTTTGAAAAATGCAGAACCAGCCAGGCCACGCCCTGGTCCGGATTCTTGGGTGTCTCCTCACTGCTCTCGGGGTCAAGTCTAAAGTGTCCAGCCTGCTTTCAGGGCTCACCTTGAGCTCGAATCTGCCTTTCCCACCCCTGCACTGGCCTCCTATAAGACCCAAACTCTCACCCCCAGCCTCTGCCCAGGCTGTGCCCTGTACCAGGACGGCCCTCCCGCCCTCCCTTTGAATGCCAGATTCTCCAGGCCTCCCTGGGACAGAATGCAAAATTCCCCTTCCTGTTTGCAGAACACCTGGTGCCTTCCGCCGTCCCGGTGCCTGGCTTCATGAGCACGTGCACGTTTCACCCCTTACACCATAAATTCAGGAATGCTGGGTAGGGTGCCTGACCTCCGCCCGGTGTGCCAAAGAGAGAAATGTTGGGGACTGATTCGTTCGTGAACTGACCCCTCTGGGCCCCGAGCACTGGGAATAAAGAGGTGAGCCAGGCAGACGTCGGGGAGGACCCACAGGATCCTCCCACCCATGCCTTCTGCGCCCCTGGTGCCTCATCTCCCTTCCTGTTGGCATGTGGTTCTTTATGTATGTGGTACCTGGACCCCGCTGCTGGAAACGAGCCTGTTCAATCTCATGTCTACACGGCCTTCTGGGCTGTTCTGGAGGATGGGAGGGTTGGAGCATTCGAGGTCTCTTATCAGAGTCTGGGCACCATTGGTGTTTCAGGCTGGATGGTTCTCTGCTACGGGGAGCGGGGGACAGTCCTGTGCGCGGTCGGGTGCTCAGCAGCCTCCTGGGCTCAGATCATAAGATGCCAGACCCTCAGACCACCCACCACCTGTGACAAGTCAAGTATTTCCACCCCTTGCCAACAGTCCCCAGATAGTGAGCTCACTGCTACCTGAGAGTCACTGGTTTATACCCAAACTCCCACATCTGCCCCAATCACAAGAGCCACTCCTAAAGAAGAGGAGTGGTTCCACGCTCAGCCCCGTGGTGTGGTGATGAGCAGATGGTGGCTCTCATGGCAATTCCTTGAGCTGGACGTAAGCCAGAGGCAGAAAGTCAAGGTCAACTATTTTCTCTGGTACTGCAGACGCTAGTCCCAAATAAAGGGGAAAAGGAGGGGGGAAAAAGAAGAAGGGAGGAGGAATTCCATCAAAACAGAAGATCAGTGGGGTAGAGGAGGGTTCTGAGGGATAGGGAAGGACAGTGGGATGGATCTGACCTAACCTTCCTGGGCGCATTCCCACAGTGACCGGCACCACCGTGCACATCCATAGGCACTGATTAAAAAATAAACAAATAGAAGATGAGTCGAGTAGAGGGAGGGGAATGGGGGGAGGGAGAGGGAAGGGAAGGGGGAACCCTGGGGCTTGATGTAGAGCAAGTTCGATTCCAAGCTTGTATACTAGGTCAAAATAGATCCTAATGTTATGTCTAACTAAAAATAACTAGTAAAAAAAAAAAAAGATTCGTGGACTCTATACCTCCTATAAAAGAGAAAGAGAAAAGTCTAGGGATGTAGCCCAGCAATAGAGCACTTACTAAGGCCCTGGGTTCCATGGGGAGGGGGAGGCTGGGGGTAGTATTCTTGTCCCTGTCTGCGGTGATGCTGATGTTGTATGTTGGTACACCTCCACAGGGCCTGGATTACACAGAGGTGTATTCGTTCATCCAAATGTAGCAGATGTACACTTGAAATCTGTGCATTTCATTCCTTGTACATTTTATATCAAAAGGCAAAAATCTACCCTCAAATACTGAATTCTGCTTGATGAGCTATTGAGAGGGGATGGTAGTGGTGAATGCAATGACCTTGAGATGCATCAAAAAAAAATAGAATTGCACCAAAATAGAATTGAAGACCAGTGGAATAGAATAGAAGACAC